TTGTAACCTATAAAGAAACCACTGAAAATATAATTTTTTTTTTAAAGATTGGCAGCTGAGCTAACAACTGTTGCCAATCTTTTTTCTTTTTTTTTTCTTCTGCTCTTTCTCCCCAAATCCTCCCTGTACATAGTTGTATATTTTAGTTGTGAGTTCTTCTAGTTGTAGCATGTGGGACGCTGCCTCAGTGTGGCCTCACAAGCAGTACCATGTCTGTGCCCAGGATCTGAACCAGTGAAACCCTGAAACACCGAAGCAGAGTGAGCAAACCTCACCACTCAGAAATGGTGCTGGCCCCGAAAAAATAATTTTTAAAATATCTTTAAAAAATGAATGGAATTAAAATGGTATACTAAGATATACCGACATACTGCAAAATAAGGCAGCAAAGGAGAAAGAGCAAAACAAAAAAGACAAAAGATGTATAGAAAACCAACAGCAAAACAGCACATGTAAATCCGACCATATAAATAACATTTAGAGTGAATGGATTAAATACGCCCATCAAAAGGCAGAGATTGTAGGGTTTTTTTTCAATCCAACTATATGCTACCTCCAAGAGACTATTTTAGATCCAAAAACACAAACAGGTTGAAAGTAAGAGGACTAAAAAAGATATACCACGAAAATAGTAAGCATAGTAAAGTTCCCGTTTAATATCAGACAAAATAGACTTTAAGTCAAAAAACGTTATAAAGAGACAAAGAGGGACATTTTATAATGATAAAAGGAGGAAATTATCAGGAACATAACTGTAAACATATACAGACCTAACAAAAGTCCCAAAACACATGAAGCAAAAACCAACAGAACTGAAAGGAGAAAAAAAACAATACAGCTAATTATTGACACTCATGGCAGTTAAGTCTATAAAGTCGCTGCACTAAATTCGCTAATACTGAACCCTTGAGTCTCTTTTTTTTTTTTTTAATTATTATCACTCACTCCTTTAATGGGTAAAAAGAGTATGTCAGTAGCATCAAGTGCATCCTAGAGTGGGTTCTCTTTAGAAGAATGACTCAATGCAATAATGTGACTTGCAGTTTGCCTTTGACTGGAAGAAGACAGAGGGTGTGACGAAACGCAAATTTTATCTGATAGCTTTAGGTACACAATCTGTTCTACAATCTATTGCGGAACTCCTCTAAAGACAGACGTTTCACACAACTAAGATTTGTTTTGCCTAAAGTTCACACTTCAGTCAGGGCAAGGCAAGAGACTCTTTTCTCCTATGTAAAAATGCCACCACAGACCACTAGCATCCTTCCCACCACCCCATTCTCTCTGAAAAAAGAGACATCGTTCTCATTTGGGCATTAACAATGATCTTGGTGTTGCTTTCTTTTATTTGGCCCTCTTTTTCTAAAAACTACCTTTTTTTCAAAATTGAGGTATAATTGACATATAACATCATACTAGTTTCAGGTGTACAATAAAGGAGCACCACAGTAAGTCTAACTAACATCTGTCATCACACAGTTACAAAAAAATTTTTTTCCTTGTGATGAGGACTTTTAAGCTCTACTCTCTTAGCAACTTTCAAATAGGCGATACAGTATTATTAACCATAGTCACCATGCTGTACATTACATCCTCATGTCTTATTTCTTTTATAACTGCAAGTTTGTACCTTTTGACTCCCTTCACTCATTTCACACACACACACACACACACAAACACACCTCTGACAATCTGTTCTCTGTATCTACAAACTTGGGTTTTTGTTTTGTTTTTTTCAAGTCCACATATGAGTGAGATCATATGGTATTTGTCTTTCTCTGTCTGACTTATTTCACTTAGTGTAATGCCCTCAAGTCCGTCCATGTTGTCATAAATTGCAAGATTTCATTCTTTTTTTATGGCTGAATAGTATTTCATTGTATACACATACCACAGAATTGAGGGGAAAAAAAAGACAAACAATATAGCCAATTCTTGTTACTCCTGGCAGTTACCTCCTATAAAGCTACTGCAATGAATTAGCTAATACTGAATCTTTGAATCTTAAATCCTAAAGACAACTTATCTTAGTAGATTCTATTTTCTCTATTTTACAAAACAGAAAATGAGATGCAGAAGTGTTTAGGTAACTTGCCTGAGGCTGCCCCACTTACAGGTGCTAGAGCTGGGATTCACATCCCATCCAACTGGCCCCAGAGACAAAGCTTCTTGCACTAAACTGCACTACTGCCTACAATTTCCATCCTCTGGTCATCTCTGTACCAGTGCTAAAACAAGAATGCAGAGCACCGACTTGTTTGACTTCAGCTGGGAATGTGCATATTACAGGGAGACTCAAATTATTTACTGCTCTATCCATTTCCACAAATGATCATGAAAGTATCACAAGTATTGATTTGGGGGTTACAGATAAATTGTGGCAAATAGGCAAATTCACAAATACAGAATCCACAAAATGAAGATCAACTGGAGTTGGAGACTTCAATATTCTACTTTCAATAATAGAACAACTAGGCAGAAAAATCAACAAGGATACAAAAGGCAAATGATACTATAAACTCTTTAGACCTAACCGACATCTACAGAACACTCCATACAACAGAATCAACAGCATTCTTCATCACACATGAACATTCTGCAGTACAGATCAAACGCTAGTCCATAAAACAAGACAAACAGCCCAATTAAAAACTGGGCAAAAAAGTGAACAAACAATTCACCAGAGAAGAAATGGAATGGCAAAAAACCACATAAAAAGATAGTCAAGGGGCCAGCACAGTGACATAGTGGTTAAGTTTGCACGCTCTGCTTGGGCAGCCTGGGGTTCACAGGTTCGGATCCCAGGTGCAGACCTAGCACCACTTGTCACGCCACACTGTGGTACCATCCCACATAAAATAGAGGAAGACTGGCACAGATGTTGGCTCAGGGCCAATCTTCCTCACCCCCTCCCCTAAAAAAGATAATCAGTATCATTAATAATTAGAGAACGGCAAATTACAACCATAATGAAATACCACTTTACACACACTAGATTGGCTATAATAAAAAAGACAGATAATAACAAGTGCTGACAAGAACAGGAGAAACTGGAATCCTCATATGTTGCCAGTGGGAATGTAAAATAATCCAGGTACACTGGAATACATTTTGACATTTTGGTTTTTTTAAGTCAAACATAAAACGACCATTAACGAACCAGCAATCATACTCCTAGGTATCTACCAAGATAAATGAAAACATATGGCCCCAATAAGACTTGTACACAAATGTTTAAAGCAGTATTATTCATACTAACCAAAAGTGGAAACATTGAAATATTCATCAACTGGCATATGGATAGACAAAATGAGTTATATCTACATAATGTAATACTGTACAGCAATAAAAAGAAATGAAGTACGGATTCACATCACCACATGAATCAACTTCAAGAAAAACAGTATACTAAGTGAAAGAAGACAATGAAAAAGACCACTATCATATGATTCCATTTCTATGAAATGTTCAAAATGAGCAAATCTATAGAGACAAAGTAGAATGGGGGGTTAGGAATGAGAAAAGACTACAACTGAGGTAAAAGGGATCTTTTTGATTGTGATAATTTCATTGTGATAATAGTAGCACTTTTCAAATTTACTAAAATTCATTGTAAAAACTAGTGAATTTTATATGTATAGTGTCTATACCTTAACAAAACTGCTTAAAAAGAGAGCCAATTCACAGGCTCCAACAATATTTATCACACTTTTTCTACTTGTTCCAATATTCTCACATTGTCTGCATTCTCTTCTCTTCCCAACTTAAACTCTCTCTACCCACTATTCCTCAAAACTTTTGCTCTCCGCCCTCTTTTCTTAACCAGATTTTTAGGATATATATTCCTTAAACTTTTTTGAATAGAATTCCTCCTTCCTCTTTATCCACTATTTCAGCAACATAAAAACCTACCCGGGACGTGTGGGGTTATCACACTGATGATTCTAGGATTGTTTTTCCTTTTTGCAGGGGTTGAGGGGTTGATTACTGCATTGACAATTTTAAGATTCTCTGAGGCAGTCTTGTGGGGCTAGAAGGGTGGGAGTGGGGGCAATGAGGAGTCAAAAGGGAAATCCAGAGCTGTAGTTTTACATACATTGAATATAGTCCATATAACGCCCTGACAGTGTGAAATAGCACTTCTAGTATAACCCAGAATTTATAAAGCTACAGCCAGTTCTGGGCAAGAAATTTTAGGAGGACCACTGACAAAGAATGTTGTCAGAGGTGAATGACTGGTCTGGTGATCAATCTAAAAATGACACCATATCAGGAACAACTGGAGGAATGAGAACCCTTTACCCTGAAGAAGAAAAAGAGTAAAGTGACAGAGTCTCTGGCTTTCAAATTCACGAAGAACTGGGTTCAACTGAGTGAGCTCCACAGGGCAGAACTAAGATAAATGCACAAAAGTTAACAGTAAAGCAAAAACATGACTCATTCATGTAATTATGAATTTTCTAACACCTTAAAACTATACAACTCTGATCAAGCAGAAGATATTACTACCCAACTGAGATTAATAAACCAATTTCTCTACTGGTTGGATAACTAAATGGAATAAATATTGGAATAAATAAATATTTCTAAGAACTTGTAAAGCCCTAAAGCTATAAAAACTACCACTTTTCATACATGAGCATCAACTTGGTTTTTCTCCATAAAATGTATTGAATGAGGTCTTTTCTTTCTGTGCATCCAGTGTGCTTTCTGAAAACTATCAGTACCATATTCCTTATTACTAAACTCTCCTGTAAATAGTATCCTTTTGCATTTTGTGACAAACAACACTATATGTTGGTAAATGCTTTTAAAAAACAAACATGTTTCAATATATCGGTCTGAAAGCTTATTGAAGACTGTACAAATGAAGCTACAAGGCAAAGAATTTCTAGTAAACATTCAATTCTAATAAAGTCACAATTGTATTTATCAAATAAACAGCTAAAGATCAAAATGGTATACTAGGTAAAATGGTATAAATTAATGCTTCTACTTACGTTTCTGTATCTGATACCAATGATTCATTATTGCACACATCATTGAAGGTATGAAGTTGATTCTATAATTAAAGAAATTAAAAGTTTTTTCCAACATTATTCTTATATATGTTAGCAATTGTAAAAAAAAAACAAACACGGTTGAAATATGTGGCTCATAATCAATAACCACATCAAAATTATAAAATATTAGATAAACAGATATACACACTTTCCAATTAGTCTGGCTATTTCCTTTATTGTATTAAAACACTAAATAAATTCCTTCCACAAGTAATACTTGGTCCTAGAGAAAACAAAGAACAAAGAAACACTAGAGAAAACAAAGCTGAATAAGGGGAAAATACAAAAATATTAATGCAAGGCAGCTAGTAATATGTCATTACAGACATCAAGTTTTGGGATAAAGCTCCCTAGATAAACACATTTAAGATTTAATTTGAGAAAATGTCGACAAGTATTTTCTATATTTACCAAGTTCAATACATGGGTAAAATCTAGCTACTTCTGAATAACTACACTACAAAAAGAGGCAGGAAATGTAAAGGAGCAAAGCTAATGGAGACCTTGGTAAACCAAAGAATGCATATCCATTCTAAAGGATGCAGCTAACTAGTTAGCTCTAGCAAATTGTTGTTATGCAAGAATATAGATTCAAGGATACCAGGTCTTCCTCTCCACCGCATCCACCAAGAGAAGCCAATAATACAGATTTCTCCCTATTTAAAACAGTATTTGTTACTGTGCAAACCAAACCTAACATTTCTGTTACTCAAATTTGGCCTATGGCCCAATAATCTGTGGCTTCTGCCTGGAAAATGAATTAAGTAACTACTTATAATCTCTTCCAATTGTCTTTCTCTCTGAAAACATTGTTTCTAAATGTAGAAAGCTAAATAGTTAAAAAAAAAAAAAAACAGTGAAGGAGTTGGACCCTGAAATCAAAGACCCAAGGTATAAATCCTTCTAAATCTAAGCCTCAGTCTCCTTGTATTTAATAGAGAAAATACAGAAATTATTTGTAGGGACCATACAAAGTAACGCATGTAAAATACTGAACACAACGCCTAGCACAAAGAAAGAGCTCCACAAATATGAGATATTATTGTGATGATAATGATAGTCTGGAAGGCAAATAAAAAACGAACAAAAATAAAACAAAGACAGCTTACCGTTATCTGACTTAGTCCAGCCAACCTCATAGTCAAAGTAGGTGACATAAAGTACTTAAATGCAAGATCTAGGCTTTCTTTATCAAAGCATAACGTTGTATCCAATGGTTCTTTCACTGTGCTCCACATTAAGTCAGCCATGTTGCGAGCCGCACTCTGTCTTAACTCTTGATCAGAGAGCTTGCATAAATACCTGAAATGATTCAGAAATAAAATATACACAAAAACTTATAAAATATTTCTAAAGGTCATTCAGTAATTCAATAATATTCCTTTGCTCCATACCTCCAAAATGTTTAGTACAGTAGAACCTGGCATCCTGGGATTAACATTCCCAATTTAAACTATCTCTAAGTGATGCTTCAAGGATGGTGACCTGTTAGCAGTGTGTCCTTTGCTGAGAGACCAACTTGAATCAGAAACTGCAAAGAGCCAAGTCATTTAACATCGGATTTGGCACCTCCAGTAAAGCTTTACTCTTCTCTAATACCTGTCATGTATATAGCTCCTATTTTAGTAAATTTCAGCTGACTTAATATAAACAGTACATCTACTCCCTCACTCAGCCAAAATTCTTTAAAATGTGTACATTTTAAACATTCTTCTTTTTGGCTTCCAAAACTCTCAGGCCCTGCCTAGTCTATTTGGTTGGTTCCTTGTTCTCTATCCAACCTTTCAACATTAGTGCTCCTCAGATCTTGTAATGAACTACAGAAAAGCCCCAAATTCCTCCCATCACTTTATATAGAAATCTCTGCAATGTGACTTTACCACTCTTTCCATCAAGAGGTGTCACCTATTTCTCTATTCCCTTGAATCTGAGCTGTGCCATGAAACCTTCTTTGGCCAATGGGGCATTAAGAGATGTGATACAGTAGAAGCTTGAAAAGCTTTCGAGCTTGCCCTCTCTCGCTGGGAACTCTTCCACCACCAAGAAAAAGAACCTAGATTAGCCTGCTAGATGAAAGAGACATGGCTGATGCCCCAACTGACATCTAGCCAACTGCAAGATGTATATGAGCTCCCCTGTCCTCCCCAAGACCAATCAGCCTGCCAACCACAGGACTTTTTTTTACATGAGTATATAAAAAGAATTAAAGAGATTAACAGTGTTTACATGGTATTCCACTGTATTTATTTAGTCAACAAATATATACTATGTTCTAGGCACTGGGGATATAGCAGAGAAGAAAAAATTTCTCCTCTTGTGCAGTCTATGTACAAAGTAAATAAGTAAATGATATAGTTTGTTAGAAAGTGATGACTATTACATAGGAAAACAGCAGCAAAGATGGATTGAGAGTTCTAGAAGGTTTGTCACAATTTTAAGTATGGGAATAGAGAAGGTGTCATTGAGGAGGAGGTGACATTTGAGTTTTGTAAGTCTCAATGTAAGAAAGAAACCTAAGAAGAGGATGGATAAAGAATTATATTGACTAGACTTAGAGTATGGACTGTTAGAGTTCTAAGATTGTGTTTCTTGATAATATTTATGAGTTCTTCATACTTGTTCTCGTTCATTCATTTGCAAAGATTTGAGGCCTGCTATTTTCCTGTTACTGTTTAAGTTGTTGGAGAAAGTGTCAGGAAAAGAATCATAGTCATCAGTGCTATGCAAGTAAGGTAACGTGGTAGAGAAGGAATATTAGGCCTTTGTGAAAGGTGACATCTGAAGAATATGAATCAGCCAACTGGATGATAATTAGAAGGACATATTTCAAGTAGGAGGAACATAAGGGCATAGGCTTTGAAGTTGGAAAGAATATGATATATTAAAGAAGCTAGAAGCAGACTGATGTGGAGCACAGTGTGTAAGAGGATATAATTGTGATATGCAGTTGGATAAACAATGGCAGATTATTCAGGATCTTCAAGTTATTGTAAGGAGTTTGGATTTAATTTAGCAGTGGGAATCTACTGAAGGGTTTTAAGCAGATGAGTCATGATGGTTTTTAAAAGATCACTTTGGCCTTTAAGTGGATCATAAATTATAGGGGGGTTGGAGTAGAAGCTGTGAGACCAATTGAAAGGTTAATGCAATTGTCCTGGGAAGAAATGGTTACTTGTACAAGGATTATTTATGGTGATTTTGAAAATTGAACGGATATAAGTGAAAGTGAAGTTGATAAAATTGGTGATTGCAGAGTTTAAGGAAAAAGGGTAGCATCATGGATGACACTCTAACCCCCATCCCCTTGATTTCTCTTTTGTGCTGCGGGTATCATTAACTGAGATGTGAAAGACTGGGAGAACTTAAATATTTTAAGATGTTTGTGGGACATTTAAGTGGCACTGGCAAATGAGCAGCATAAGCTTGTAGTTCAGAACAATATCATTAATTTAGGAGTTGTCAGCATAAAGACAGCACTTAAAAACCACAGGAATGAATGAGATCATCTGGGGAGAGAATATAGAAAGAGAATAGAAGTGAGTCCAGGATGGAGCCATGTATCAGTTTGCCTTTGCTGTATAAGAAAACAACTCTCAAAACTTAGTGGCTTAAAATAGCAGCCATTTATTATTTCTCAGTTCTCCTGATAGCTAGCTCTTCTGATCTGGGCTGACTAGGCTAGACCTAGATGCTCCAGGATAGCCTCACTCATGGATGTGGATGTTAGCTCAGGGCTAATCTTTCTCAAAAAAAAAAAAAGAGTAAACACTAAGTATAAACCTACACATGTGCATAAAAAAATACTATACACTAAAATGCCAATTAAACTTTTTTCTAGAGGATGTGAGTACAAGGGACTTTCAAAACAATTTAATTCTGTACCATGTTTATAAACTGTTTAAACATTATTACATTGATAATCAGGGGGGAAGATTTTATCAACTTACCTGATAACATAGGTCCTAAAAGGGATAATGTGCTGCATGACAGCAGGGATATGTAGCCATATTCTAATCTACAAAGAAGCATAAAGATGACAATGTATATTGAATATATGAAATACCTATGTCTTTCACTTTAATTAAAAACAAGAGCATTTAGTATTGTGCTGCCTCTAAAACCACATACATTTTATGTATTTTTAAAAGAATAAACTAAGAAATAGAATTACACACCTATCAGGGAAGTAATTTAACCTAAACAGTCATGTATCACGTAATGACATTTTAGTCAACAATGGACTGCATATACAACAGTGGTCCCATAAGATTAGTACCATATAGCCAAGGTGTTTAGTAGGCTATCCCATCTAGATTTCTAAGTATACTCTGATGTTCGCACAATGACAAAATCACCTAACGACACATTTCTCAGAACATATCCCCACCATTAGCAACAGGTGACTATACATTTTTTATACATATACATAAAATCAATTTGAAAAATTAATGTTAGCTTCTTGCCTAAAAGGGAGAACCATCTATCCAAGTAGTATCATCTTACTACATGCTACGCTATATCTCTTTGGAAGGTAGCAACCCAAATACTTGAGCACTAAATTAGTTTAATAAATCATCTTAGTTTTTAATAAACCATCTCATCCTTCCTTCTAAAAAATATGAAATTACCTATGATTTCTAGTCACTTCAGTATCCATCAAAGCAAATATATTTTAGAGTCACACACTGATTACAATATCAACTATTTACTGAATTAAGTTCCAATCTAAGTTACAATGTTTCCTTTTTTCTATACAATATTCCAACCCATTTCTAAATCTAATATGCTTACATTATAGAAGTTTTCTTTTCATAAACAGCGGTTTAAATATAAGAATAAAAATCCAAAGCAAATCATCAAACAACAAACTATGACACTAAGCCTTGACACAGGCAAGGAATACAAATTAAAAACAAGTTTAAAGACACAGAATGTATGGCTTCATTCTAATCTAATCAAAGACATCTACATAAGTCCTATAGCAAATACTATACTAATGATGAAATGTTAAAACTTTTCCTTCTGAGACTAGGAACAAAGTAAGAATGCCTTCAATTCAATTTGAACTCAAGGTCCTAGACAGTGCAGTACAATAGCCAAGAAACTAAATAAAAGGCAGAGAACTAGAAAAGAATTAAAACCAATATTGCTCTGAGAGGATACGATTATGTAAGTAAAAGATCCAAAATAATTTTCAGATAAACTTTTTTTGGAATTAGTTTAGCAAGATTGCTGCTTACAAAGTCAACACAAATAAATAAATATACACACACAAACTATATTTTATATATATATATATTTCTTACATAACAGGAAAACTGAGAAAAATTAAAGAACATGTAAATAAAACATTTACCATTATTTATAAATTAGAAGACTCAATACTGCAGAGATGACAGTTCTCCCCAAATTGACCTTTAGGTTCAACGCACCCAAAGAGGTGTATGTGCAGAATTTTAGGTGCTGATTCCAAAGACAAAGGTCCAAAAAGAGATAACACACTCTTTAAGAATGACAAGGAGTGGAGACATAATGTACAGCATAGTGACTACAGTTAATAAAACTGTATTGCATATTTGAAAGTTGCTAAGAGAACAGTTCTTTAAAAGGTCTCATCACAAGAAAAGAAAATTTGTTAACTATGTGTGGTGATGGATGTTAACCAGACTTACTGTGGTGATTATTTTGCAATATATAGACATATCAAATCATTACATTGTACATCTGAAACTACTATAATGTTGTGTCAGTTATAACTCAATAAAAAAGAAATTACAGGGAAGTAGAATTTGCTTTACCAGTTAGCAACACTTCTCATAAAGCTCCAGAAATTACGATGGTGTACAAACAGCACAAGATTAACTAAATGGACTAATGGAACATGCTAGAGATCCCAGACTCAGACACAAAGAAACACGTGATTTATGACAAAAATGGTACTTCAGAACAAAGAGGAAAGGATTGTCTTTGCTATAGTGTTAGGCCCAGTGGTTGTCCATATGGAAAAGAAAACGAATCTTGATCCCTCACCCACACCATATACAAAAATAAATTCCAACTGAAGTGCAGATCAAAATGTGAAAGTAAAACTAAAACTTCTAGCATACAGAAAAATATCTTCATGACTTTAGGGTAACAAAGACTTTTTCAACCATAAGTGAAAAACATTAGCCATAAAAAAAAACTTTTGCTAAGTTACACACCCTTAAGTTCAGTGAACAATCGCTCTTAAAAGACACCAGAGAACGAAAAGCAGACCACAGAGTGGAAGAAGGTGTTAGCAACATGTGTATGTCAGACAAAAGACTTGCATCCAAAACATAAGGAATCTCCATACACCAGTAGGGAAAAGGGGGACAATCTGATTCTTAAAATGGGTAAAAGACTTGAACAGGTACTTCTCAAAAAGTATCCAAATAGCTAATACGCCTATGAAATGGTGTTCAATCTCATTAGTCATTAACAAATGTAAAAGTAAAATGACATTGAGGTACTATTATACATCTATCAGAAATCACTAAGAGTAAGAATACCAGGTGTTTGCAAGGATGTGAAGCAATGGAACTCTCATTCCTGGTAGAAGTGTAAATTAACATAATCACTTAAGAAAACCTTAGCATTAATGCATAAGATTGAATATACACAAAGCCTATGATCAAGAAATTCCACTTCTAGATACATGTCCAAATAAAATGTATGCATATGTGCACCAAAAGACATGGAAAAGAAGGCTGGACACTACACTAATTGCAATAGCCAAAACGGCCATTACCAGTAAAACGGATTGATGCTGGTACATTTTTAGAGAAGTATTATACAACAATGAAAATGAGTAGACTAGAACTACATGAAATATAAATCTCAAAGTTAAACAAAAACAGCCAGACAAAAGAATGCATAGTATGTGATTCTATGTACATGGTTAACAGACAGAACTAAATCATAGTATTTAGGGATGCAAACAGGTGATAAAACTATAAAGAAAAGCAGGAAAGTGATCAACATAAAAACATGAATTGTGTTTACCTTTAAGGGCAGAGATGGAGTAGGGACTTGGAGGGAGTGTAAGGGAGGCTTCTAGGCAGCTGAAAATGTTTTGCTTCTTGGTGTGGGCAGTGGTTAAAAGAGGTATTCACTCTGATAAATCACTGAGCCATGTATTATCATTATGTGCACTTTTCCGTATGAATGTTATATTTCAAATTTTTAAAAAAGGTTAAAAGATTCAGTTATATAAGAGATACATTACAGGAGATGAAAATAGGTATGCTGTTATCTTTTATTTTGGGATAAACAAAGACACAAATAAAAATTTAAATAAAAATGACAAGGAAAATGTCAACATCAGAAGGAAAAAATTTTAATAGAAAGAGCTACGACTTACTGAGCCCTTAATATTGCCATTCCGACAGATGACAAAAGTGAGGCTTATAAAAATAATGTAATCAAAATCACAGAGTATGTAATAGAGCTACAATTCAAACCCAGGATTACTTCTCTATAAAATGTATGTTCTTTGGGGCCGGCCCAGTGGCATGGTGGTTAAGTTCGTTTGCTCTGCTTCAGTGACCCAGGGTTCACGGGTTTGGATCCTGGGCATGGATCTACACACCACTCACCAAGCCATGATGTGGCAGCATCCCACATACAAAATAGAGTAAGACTGGCACAGATGTTAGCTCCGTGACAATCTTCATCAGCAAAAAGAGGAAGATTGGCAAGAGATGTTAGCTCAGGGCCAATCTTCCTCACACACACAAAAAGTACATATACATATGTGTACATATATATATTAAAAGGTCTATGTTCTTTAATACTACTATAGATGCAAAACATTACAAGAACCAAATTCTATATGCTATTAATCATAGATTATATGTCCTTTTCCTTTTCTTACTACAAGTTTTGAGCTTCTAAAGTTTGCTTTAGTGTTATCACCCCTCTTGGTGATAACAGAATTCTAGCAGCCCTCCTAAGTACATGTTAAATATCCAGGAATAGGAAAATACATTCCCTATATTGTTCCCCCTATAACTGCAGAAAAGCAGACATCATAAATCTAGTTTTGACAAAATGGTGAAATAAAAACTTCACAGAACTGTCAACCCACTCTGTCTAGTGTGGAGATATATGAAATTATATCTTAACTAGCTTAATTTCTGATATTAAATAGTCCTTGTTATTGTTTTTGTAAAAGCAGTCAGAGCACTGAGAGTTCAGAAACTATTATTCTTTGCTCTGATATGTTTCTATAACCCCTATAAGTTTGCATGTCTGATTACATCTCTAACTTAATAATTTGTCAATATAATTTCTAAATAATCTGTTTTCTAAAGCATATATTCTTGAGGTTTCCTTATTAAGCCTCATTTGCACTTCCTCTCCACGCATGTTAACAAAATAAATCCCATGACCCTATTGGGTTCTTTACTAAAAGTCCTTAGACTCTGTCAATTTTAAGTTAATAAAAGGTGTTATGTCTGAGATGACTAACTCAAGCAAAGAGCTGAGGGCTGAGGCAGGATACTACAATCAAATATAACTCATCTTAGGTATCAGTGGGGAAACTTCTAGAAGGACGCTGCATTCTATTACTCTAACCTCTGCTAAATATTGGTTAGCTGCTTTTGCTGAAAACCTAAAGGCCAAAACAAAGTAAGGAAACTACATACAGATTTTTGTTGTTTTTTTCCTGTGGCTACAGCCATTATTACTAAGAATAGATCCATATAATAGTGGAGTAATATTTGCGCAAAACTGAGAAATCTGCTAACAGTCAGTGTTAGTTAAGAAATGCTGAGCAGCAAGTTTTTGAAATTGAAATACATGTATGGGCTTGAGAATATTATCAGATTTTTTAAACCTTAATCTGATGAAGTAAGAGTTTTCTTTCTTTGCTGATAATTCAGACCCAGGACAAAGTGAGTTTTCCTGTGCTGCAAGCTCAGGATTGTAGGTTCAGGTTCTAAGAGATAACACTCACCACCTGATAAAGTCACCTTTCCTCATTAAGAGTAAGGAAACCACCCTAGAAAACAAACAGGATGGTCTGGTCCCCAGGAAATAATATAAACATATTCTCTTCTGAATGTATGATTTACTATAATCAATCATGGAAGGGACAGGTACTCAATAAGGTTAGCCCTTACCTCTCTTATCCTACAAGTGGTTTATAATTCATGAGTTTTTTTTCAAGAAAGGACTGGCACTAAAATCTAATAATTCTTTTTCTTATTTAAATCTAGGAGAGTTTTTGTTCCTGTGTGACAGCCCATGTAAAATCAGAAGTTCCCAAATAGGGACCTTCAGCCTTGTTGAAGCTGAAATAGCACAACTAAACCAGCTGCCTATTTCTCAAGAAAATAAATGAGATATAGATAAAAAGACCAGGTTCACAATTTACAATGACTCACTAGAGGGAAACTACTATGCTCTAAGATCAGTTTGTATGTGGTTAAAAATTCTGAAACGTAAAGGCTCTCAAGTTTCTCAAAATGTGAAGGGATGTCTGTTTTAATTGTTTAACGTGACCACTGTTTATATAAACTTCAGGGAGGGTGGTCAAGAGTCCACAATCTTGTCAAAGTCACCAAAGTTATCTTGCCAAAGTCATGCCAAAACTCCTTACGCTTTAAATGTCATCAAACCTTTCAGAAAAATTTTAGGCTCTGAAAAAAGTCAAGTACAGACTCTGCAGAAACCTTGATTATAAAAAGGACTGTAACTTAAGCTCTTAATTTGCACCAAAGTATTAACTGTATTAGAATGAAGAGGGACAAATCAAAAAATCTTTCTTCTTATGAGGAAAAGGTGCCAAGTGAGTTACTCAACAGAGTTTTAAAACCTTTAGCTGAAAGGTACATATGTTATACTCTCAGGAAAAAAACCCAAACAACTATATTATTAACTTAAGTAGTATAACGAATTTTAAACTAACTTTGGTTTAATGGTCTCAGTTGACTTACAAGATCAAGTTATGCAAACTGACAACAGCCCATCAATTAGCAGTCGTAAAAAGGCTGAGGAGTAAGAAGAAACAGAATCTAAACCTTTTTCTTTAGTAAAGGATAATTTTAAGACATAGTAATAGATTAAAGCCTTTAATGAGCCTTCCATAATAGACTTTTAACCAAGAATTTGTAAAATAAATTCAAGAAATACATTTTAATTCAAGTAATATTCCTAATTAAGGAAAAGAGTTGATACATTGTTTTGTGAATTCTGGATTTCAAACTCACTTATATGCCTTCTCCAAATTTACCACAGTGAAAAATTAAAACGTCAACACAGGATTTAAGTTCACTCAAAAGTTATTTTATTCTTTCTCCCAAAGAAAGCCAAACTGAATAGAACTTCCTATCAAACAAATAAGGTCAATCAGAATAAGAGAATCGGTGAGTATTTAATAACAGCTAAAATAAGTAACAGCTACCAGTCACTAAGAGTTTACTATATATCAGATGTTATAATAGCTTAAAATATATCTTAAAACCTCACAACAATCTTCTAAGGTAGATCATCATTTTTATCATTCTCATGCTACGGATTAAAAAAATTGAGGCTCAGGGTCCAGCCCCATGGCCTACTGGTTAAGTTCCACACACTCCACTTTAGCCCAGGTTTGCTTCCCAGGTGTGGATCTACACCAATGGTCAGCAGCCATGCTGTGGCAGCAACCCACATACAAAATAGAGAAAGATTGACACAGATGTTAACTCAGGGCAAATCTTCTCAGGAAAAAAAAAAAAAAAATTGAAGCTCACATTCAGGGTTTAAATGCATCTGTTGAATCAAAAGCCTACATTCTGGGGCCAACCCCATGGTTTGGATCCTGGGTGCAGACATGGCACCACTCATCAGGTCATGTTGAGGCGACATCCCGTACAGCACAACCAGAGGCACTCACAACTAGAATATACAACTATGTACCAGGGGGCTTTGGGGAGAAGGAGGAGGAAAAAAAAGCCTACATTCTTAATCTACATGCTATGCTGCCATTGCATGAAGTATTTTCAACCTGTCAGAAACCAAGGAATTCAGGGACTAAAAATGACCTTGATACAAATCATTTACTTCAAATATGGAAACGTGGAGGTCTAGATGCTAAATTTGAGTAAACCCAGTGCCCTTTCCAATGTACTACTTCACTGCAAAGAGAATATCATCGGAAACAATACAACAAGGTATTTGGTTGAGTCCTTTTGTACCCTATATTTTTTTATTTTATATATGTACTTTAAATATGTCACATTAGTTATTATTTAAGGTAATTCAATTAACAAAAGAATTCAAGTTTTGGTAACGTTAGGTTTAAGTTTTGCTACAATTTTTTAAATGATGATCAGACTAGAAGGTTATTAAAGGCTGAATTTTAACATACAGGTAGTAAAAAGTATTTATCTCTGCTTCCACACTTAACTGTGCTCCACAGTAACTGATATTCATAACATACAAAAGAATTATCTTCTTTACAAAGGCAAAAAGAAATGTCAGGTCTTTATTTGTAATATAGAGCGAAGTCAGACATACTGTAGTAGTACCCTAGGCTAACCATTACTTAAGTAATCAAAGACTCTAAGAAGCCAGTAATTTCCCAGTACAAAATCCCAGTCCAGCAAAGCTGAAATCAACATAAGACTTTTCTGCCTATCTTATATTTTAGACAAAAGAGGTAAATGGCTAAAATTACCTATTTAACTTGAACTCATTAATGTATAAGAATTCCAATTTTACCAAAATAAAGACTTTAAAAAGGTTTCTGTACTCAATTTTTTCAAAATATAATCCAGAAAAAAAATATTATACATGCAAATCACTCAAAACTTGCCTTTTCTGGACATAAAATTCATGTTATTCAAGTATTAGACATTGTTCCTAAGATTAAAACCAATTCCAGACAATACTTACATTAGATACAACTGTAATAAATGCATGTGCTATAAGAAATGGCAAAGTTTCAGGAGTTCCATATTCAAAGCAATCCTTCATGAGAGAAAGGCCATTTTTCCCACAAAACAAACATACATAACGAAGCAAATGCAATGGTACTTCTACATCCTGAGGAAAAAAAGAAAATTATTTTAAAACTTACCAGGAATAATTTTCATTTTATTACCAATACTGGAAAGATACTGATCAGACATAAAAATAAACTCAAAAGACAGATGAACAAAAAAACAAAATTTTCCACAATCCTTAGAATGATAAAAAACACTTACATTCATATCACAGAACGCCCCTAATATGTTGCTTTCTTGGGTTGATATATCCTGATTTAAAAAAAAATAAATATAATTAGATCACACTATTAAATAATAATCTTTTAAAAATATAATTTCCTATACCTGATTTCTATAATCTGATTTTATAAAACAGATTTTGCGATTGCTTCTCGTCATGAATGGTGGTATATATTCCTAACTGAAGTTAGTAAGATTCAGTTCTAAAGTACACTTTAACTCTTCTCCAAAAAAATCTTTCTATACTATGTACTACACATTATTTTGCCTTCTTAAACAAAAACTTTTCCTTAAAGAATTGGAGCAATTCATATAAAAATACACCATAACTTAGTTAAGTGGTTTTCAAACTGTGCTCTGGAATTCCCTAGATGTATACTCAAAAGGTTCACAATGTGTTTTCCAACATAAGATTTAAACTACCTGAAGCACACTCATCCATCGTTGGTGAGAGTAGAAGCTGGAATGACCTTGTAGGAGGGCAATGTGGCAATATCTGCCAACATTTAAAATACACATTCCCTCTGACACAGCAATTCATCTTCCGGTTATTTACTCTAAACAGCTAATAAAAGAAGTGCTGGAAAATGTATGTACAATCATGCTCACTGAAATTCTAACATATCAAAATTAGAAATAACTTAAATATCCATCAATAGAATGGCTAAATAAATGGTGGCATAACCATCCAACATCTTACGGAGCCTTCACAAATAATAACATGAAATGGCATGAGGGATTTTTTGTGGGATGATGGAAAGGTTCTATAATTGGAGTGTGGTAATGGTTGCACAACTCTGTAAATTCACTAAAAAAAAATTATACACTTTAACCATTGATTTTTATTGTATGTAAGTTATACCTTCAAAAGGTTGCTAAAAAAAAATAATAAGGTGGATCCATATGTATAGGGATAGAAAGATAATATCCTGTATTTCCATTTAAAAAAGAATTTATGAATATGATCTATTTTCATAATTTTTTAAATTCCTGGAAATATATGAACTAATTTTGTCACAACAGCTTTTTTGAGCAGAAAATAAAGAGGAGAGATTCAAGGCTTTTTTAAGTCTATATTTTGTATAATCTGTATTTTTTAGTCACACAGAAAATGTTACTTTTATAATCAGAAAGCTAGATACATTCATCTGAAAAAAGTTAGCTTCCAAAGGAACCCATTCATTCATTGCTGTTAACCTATTTCACATATTTAAATCTCTGCTGAAATCAAGTTTGAAAACAACTAATTGAGAGCATCACATGAAACTCTCAGAACAGGGGCTGGCCCCGTGGCTGAGTGGTTAAGTTCACGCGCTCTGCCTCAGCAGCCCAGGGTTTCGCAGTTTCAGATCCTGGGCACAGACATAGCACTGCTCATCAAGCCATGCTTAGGCGGCATCCCACATGCCACAACTAGAAGGACCTACAACTAAAAATACACAACTATGTACCAGGGGGCTTTGGGAAGAAGGAAAAATAAAATCTTTAAAAGAAAAAAACCCCAAAAAACTCTCAAAACATTTCAAAATAATCAAAAACTGTCCTAAGAGAGGTCAAAACACTTGTCAAATTAAGTAGACTAAACCTCATAAATCTATTCTTGAGCCTCTACTATCAGGGCCACAGTTAAAGCTTTAAGTTATTCTCAACAAACCTTTTGTCTACATTCCAGAATATAAGAACTCCTGTGGTATTATTAAATACAGATTCACCGACCAGGTGGACCATGCTGGAATATTAGATTGGAGTCAAGATTTCTGGTGCCTTACATGGACACAAGCTGGAAAATCTCCTAAGAGAATTCTATTCTGATGTGCAAAATGTTACTCATGGACTTTGTTACATCTATTCCGGTTACTCGGAACTGTTTTAATATTTCATACTTCTACTCTGCATACATGAAGACATTATCCTAAGGTGTTATCATAATCTCATTTTAAGTGGTATATAAAGAGTTAACATAGATCTACAGGTACCACCACCACAAAGTCTCCCTAAAAGCTGATTCAACATCATTTTTCTTTCAAAAGTTCTAATTTTAGATAGTCCCTGAAAGGGCCTTAAGAAACCTATCAGGGATATGTAAAGTTTTTGTTTTTTTTCCCATAACCTCACATTTACTAAATAAGATAAAGCCACTAGATTTCTAGAAGTAAACAAAGGAATTTTTCTATTACTTTAAAGGAGAAAAGAGAAAAAAATTGAGCAACCAGAAAGTTATTCTATATCTAAGCAAATGATGCTTCACGATCAAACCATGAAGAATTGAAGGCCAGTGGATTAAGAATAAAATTTTTACTTAAAAAGCCATTGGTGTTGGAATTAGATAGGAGTAATGGTTGTACAACTCTGGGAATACACTAAAACTTACTAAATTACACACTTTAAAAGGGTGAAGTAAAAATATTTAACTTAATTTAAAAAAGGGTAAGCAGGGGGGCCAGCCCTGTGGCCTGGTGGTTAAGTTCAGTGCGCTCTGCTTTGCAGGCCTGGGTTTGGTTCCCAGGTGCAAACCTACACCACATATCAGTGGCCATGCTATGGCAGCAAGCCACCCACAAAATAGAGGAAGGAAGGCATAGATGTTAGCTCAGAGCAAATTTTCCTCAAACAAAAAGAGGAAGATTAGCAACAGATGTTAGCTCAGGGCAAATCTTCCTCAGCAAAAAAAAAAAAAAAAAGGGGGGGTGTGATTTAAAAAGTCAGTAGAAAATGCAAGAGAATACCAGCCTAGATTCAGAAATTTGGAAAATAAAATAACATAATGTATATATTTAATCTGCCTGATCATGTTATACATACATTTAACAGAAGCACAGTGGTTTCTCTCCTTTCTATAATTTTTATACCTATTTTCATTCTACTTAGACTAAAACTTGTAACACTAGGGCAATACTTCATTTCATAAAATTATATATAGTTATTCAGGATTAAGGAAAGAATGCAGGGGCCGGCCCCAAGGCCGAGTGGTTAAGTTCGTGCGCTCCGCTTCCACGGCCCAGGGTTTCACCGGTTTGGACGCTGGGCACAGACATGGCACCGCTCATCAAGCCATGCTGAGGCAGCATCCCATGTGCCACAGCTAGAAGGACTCACAACTAAAAATATACAACTATGTACCAGGGGGCTTTGGGGAGAAAAAGGAAAAATAAAATCTTTAAAAAAAAAGAAAAGAAAAGAATGCAACTGGCCACCCTGCCAAAATTGTAACATTAATTAATATTACATAGTTCCAATGACTACATCTTTAAAAATATTAAAAACAAATATCAACTTCAATAGAAGAGAAAGGAAGGATGGGGGAGGGGGGTAGAAGAAGGGATTCCAAGTTCCAATCTTATTCACTATTGGCAATGGAGACAATAGTTACAGTGATTAGTCCGAAATGACTGAGAAGCAGTTTAGTAGAATAAGACCCGAATTCTAGAACTCTCTCAATAATAGGCTTCGTAAACCTGATCAAAACTAACCTCTGCAAGCCAGTTCCCTCTTATATAAAATAAGGATGTTGACTAGGTTTCTAAAGTCACAGCTATCGAAATACTAACACGTGAGTATTGAATCTTCTCCTTCTAAAGAGGGTTGGCCAATCTGTGCCTTTTAAAAAGAAATAAAAATAAAAATCAAGGCTTTATCAGGAAGGGATGGCACAGCAGTATGAAGGAAAGACTGGATGGCCTATCTCCTTATAAAAAGGTGGGATTAAAAATCTTTATGGTAAACTCTATTGCATTGCATAGTAAATACTGGTTTTCTTAAGATATCTGTGTTTATGTGTATACAGATACACACAAATACATACTATAATTTTATAATATATATGTATGCCACCAAGGTTTTCATCTGAGACCCTTTGAAACAGCTAACCCTTAACATATTTAATTACATGACCAGTAGGATAGATACCTAGAAATTTTAGAGTATTTGTAACAGATCATTACAAAGATACTAGAAACTTGGGAAATAACTATTATGAATAGAATATTAAAGAAGTACATGTAAATTCTGTCTAAGGAGATTCCTCCTTTACTATATACATCTAATGGTGTTTTTTTAATTAGAATTTTACCTCAAAGACCTCATGAAACCATTGCTTTTAACCAAGGAGTCACATGGAATGATCCTCAAGAATAGTAATAACGAGGCACTTTATTCCAAAAGGGGAAGTAGAGGGGAGTGGACTATATCCATATTTGGAGATTATCGTTTTTGAAAGTCATTTAAAAAAAAAGATAAGCAAATTGATTTTAGGAACAAAATAGCAGACATAGTATTGCTATAGTTCTGTTAAGAGATTTTTAACTGGAGAAAAATTTATTTCTCAGAAATGTTGCATGAATTTCACATATCTAGGTCCTGAACCAAACCATTTTTAGCATCCTTCAATTATCAATTTAAGGCATTAAAACACTCTTCACATGGGTTCTTTTTTTTTTAAGATTTTATTTTTCCTTTTTTCCCCCAAAGCCTCCCAGTACATAGTTGTGTATTTTTAGTTGTGGGTCCTTCTAGTTGTGGCATGTGGGATGTCGCCTCTGCATGGCCTGATGAGCAGTGCCATGTCCGAGCTCAGGATTCGAACTGGCAAAACCCTGGGCCGCAGAAGCGGAGCCCACAAACTTAACCACTCGGCGATGGGACTGGCTCCTCATATGGTGTTCTTAACATTAAATTTTGCAGGTTTGCACGAAATGGATCCCTTTTGTTGAAAAAAAGGATTCTGAGATGACATTTTTCAGAATGTTTAATAAATATCTTACGTGATGTAACAGATTTCATCAAAAGGTTTCTATATGGGAAGATAACGGACTAAGAATTCTAGAAGACAGAGCACAATCTGATTGATTTAAAATATTCTTATGGGGAATTCTAATAGGGAAAATATCCACCTCCTGGGCTACATTTTTAAATAGTCTCAATTCAATGTGAAAATATTTTCTCTAAAGGACAACTTTTTTTTAGTTAAAGAAAGAAGTCCAGAGAAATCAGAATGAAGGTCATAAAACAAATAAGCTGGAGAAAATAGACAGACTTTAAGAAAAAAGCATATTGGTAGATTTGTTAATGGCCACAACTCTTCCCATCCCAGGACACATAAGAAATAGAACGTACTTTAAAGTTTAAAATGAAACTTTACCTCTCCTCCCATCCAGAGACAGAGTTTACTTCACACCCCTTTAAATCTGGGCTGCCCCTGTGAGATACTTCAACCAATAGAATGTGGCAGAATTGATACTGTGTGGTTTCAGAGGCTGGACCTTTAGAGGCCTTAGCGCTTCTACTTTTGCCTTCCTGGATCAACACTAAGACTATCATGTAAGGTAGCCAGTGTACCCTAGTGGAGAATGAGAGGCCATGTGGAGAAAATCCAAGGAGCCCTAGACAACAGCCAGCACCAACTGTAAGACATGTGAGTGAAACCAACTTAGACCTTCAAACCCATCTGACTCTCAGAGTAAATGCAACCACATAAGTGAGGACACACAAAACCAGCAAAAAAATTGTCCATCCAACCACAGAATCATGAGAAATAATAAATCACTGTGGTTTTAAGACACTAACAGAATAAATTACCACATAACTATCTCAATTCCCACTATGTGTAGAAAGAAACGCCATTGTCTAAGTGAACCTAAGGTGGGTTACTAAACTTGAAAAGGCTTGTAAAACTATCACTAATGAAACGAGTCAAGCATCTTGACTTACAAAAGAAAATACTATTATTTAAAACTAGTGGTTATAGATAATTTGTTAAGCTTTTCTTTCTTGACAAAGAGAATTCCAAATTCTGTTACCTATCTTTCTAAGAATGAAACTCAAAATTCTATGTGCTGCTTTTTCCTCAATCACTACTTTTTGAAAGAGTCACAATAAGTAGAGCACTGATCTACATCAGTAAACTGTTTAGATCACTGACAAACAGTTCAATTTTTATAAATTCAATTTATAAATCTTCCCTTAACAGTACTCTGCTGAGCAACTGTTCAACACAAGTTGATACCGAAATGGTCTGGAAAAAAACTGGAATAGTTTTTTATAACAATGGTGATTTTTATAAAATTTTCGATTAACACTGTCTTCATATTTATTCATAAGTGAGAAATTGTGAACATAACTATGAGTTGGTATTACTTAAAATTCACAATCCTATTTTTACATACCTCTATAGTGGGATGAGTATTATGCTTGTAAGCAGTATATAAGGGAAATTGAATTTGAAAAATTTTTGCCACACATAGTAAAAGTTTTTCCTTCTCATCCGTACTCCATAAACTAAAAGGATCAGAACTCTTTGAAGATTCTTCCTCAGTCAGATTACAAATTCTTGTAGAGTTTGATTTTTTTTCTATTGATTTTTGTCTTTCTGTACTTCCTTCATTACACTGTCTTTCTATATTCAGTGGTTCTTCCACTTGATTATTCTCATCTTGCCACGTGGAATCTATGTTAACAGTAGTACAATGTTTACAAAGCTGGTCCCGGAGCACTTGAACTTGGGCAATCACTAAGTTAATAAGTGCACACACTACTTGGTTAAAAATCTCCAAATGCTTATATTCCTTGAAGCAGCACAGACATTGCCTATAAGAGAAAAAAATCAATGCATTATGCTTCCTAGAGAGGCAAAAATTATCTTTCCAATAAGTAATATAAAAAACAAGCAAATACTAAAATACTTTTATTTCCAGTTTTTATTTCCCCTTCCTGATGAGGTGGCACCATAATAACTTATAAAGATAGCAACACACCAAAAACTGATACTTTAGCTAATAAAAAGTGACCATATTAGGTTGATAGCTATCATCCTCCATTTTTGGTATGTATTTATCTGTCCTTCTACACAAAGTACTATTTAACAACTGGAATTGTGGCATATATCTTTGCCCCAATTCTCTAAGTACTCAGTACTTAATGTATGTTTAAATAAACATCAGGAAACAGGCTATAATAAAATAGCTTATTAGTAAAGCTAACTGGTTATTTTACATAAGGGGTTTTGCTGTCAAACCAATAAAAAAGCTACATTTTAAAATTAGTAATTAGTTTGAAGGCTACTTGGGAGGGGCGTTCCTATCCTTTTGGCAGATCAAAAGCTTTTAGGAACACCACATACACACAAGCACACAGTTCAGCTCCAGTAAAAATAAAAGTAAATGAAAGCACTAAGAGTCAACAATAATTATACACAAATCTGGTTCTCTTAGACATGTTCAGTTAGTAGCATAATGCCTGGCATGGATAATCAAAAGGGTCTGGTGAATCAATAAGTAAATGATACACAATTATCAGGTTATAATAATAATTGTATCCAATGATGGATGATAATTAAGCAACTATTACTTACAATTTGCACCTAGTTATATTACCAAAACATCTATATTATAGTCCAAATAGATCACCAATTCCCTGTATGACCAAGAAAAAATAATTTCATTTCTCCAGATGTGACAGATTTGAAGTATAGCCACAAATTCTTTAATACTCTTTCCTTTAGAAGGTGAAACCCAATTTTCCTCCCCTTCAATGTAGACCAGACTTAATGACGGGCGTCTAGTGAATGGAATGCGGCAGCAATGACAGTGTGTGATATCTGAGACTCAGTCATAAACGACATTGCCCCTTCTGTTTTGCTCTCTTTTGGATCAGTCACTCTGGAGGAAGCCAGCTATCACGTAGTAAGATACTCAAGGACCCCTTGGAGAGGTCCACAGGAGAAAAACCAAGGCCTCCCACTAACAACAAGCATCAACCTGTCAACCACGTAAGTGAGCCAACTTGGAAGCAGATCTTCCAGCCCCACATAAGGCTTTGGATGACCATAACCTGGCCTACATCTTGACTACCACCTTACGAGAAATTCAAGCCAGAACCAACCAGCTAAATCACACTCAAATTCCTACCCACAGAAACTCTGAGGATAATAAATGTTTATCGTTGTTTTAAGACACTACTTTTGGAGTAATTTGTTACACAGAAATAGATAAATGATACATCAGGCCTATTTTCTCGGTGGAAAAATTAAAGGGATTTTCTCACTAAGGCCTCCTCCAGTTCTAAAATTCTACACTATCACAACTTCTACAAGAAGAAAAATAAATACATAAAGTTTTTCTTATGAATAGCTTTTTCCTCTAGGTTTAGGAAAAACCAAATTCAAAGTGAAGGATCATACATTTGAATATCTTTCTTCGGTGAAAACAGAAACTGAGTTCCAAAAAAACCCACCCTGAAGTCAGATTTAGATTAGGAAAGCCTAAGAGCCAGTCAAATTTACTCTAAAAAAATCAGTGTCAGGAAATGGGCATTAAATTGCTTGATAACTGACTAGAAAACTAAGTTATATGATAACATGAACAAAGTAACAGAGAAACTGGATCTAGGTCCTTACAGACCCAAAATATACAACTTCAAGGAGAGCTGAGAGTCTAAGTGAAAATACACACGCACACACATATCTTTAAAATACTTATACATTACATAAATTACACATTTTATTATATTACACTCAATTCTGAGAAGTCTAGGTATTCGAATTCTCAATACATATCCATACCCACAACGCAAGGGAGAAAAAGTTTTTTAAATAAAAACATCACTTTCAGTTAAGCCCAGCTTGATTTTACACATAAATTTATTTCTTCTCTGTACTAAACTCTACTACAAATATACTAAAGGAAAAAAAAGACATAACTCCATAAGGAAAGAGATAATAGAAAAAAAGATGACAAATAGCAACAAATTTTGGATGACACAAAAGAGAGGTATAGGAGGTGACTTAGAATGGAAGAAATAAACTTGCAAGGGGCTACAGAAAGATATATCAGCAAAAAGAAAGATCCACCCCACAGAACACTGGAAAGGATCAGGACTAAAGAACATCAGATACCTCTGAAGGCAGAGATGAAGCATGGGGCAGAAAATAGGACTCAATGAAGGGTACAGTTACAACCTGCAGGTTCCCATCCTAGACAACCAGGACACTATTCCTACTTGACCCAGGGAAACAAGAACTTTTTCCTGTACATAAAGAGAACTAGATAAACTCAGGAATACCAGATACTGAAGAAGACAGGGATGATACAAAAATCTGAAAGCAGGAGAATTAAATGAAATTATGACTGAATGGTGAACCTCCCCAAGTACCCTTCCCTGCCCAACACCAGACTAAAAAATCTCAAGGTCAAAGACTGAAAGATACTTCTCTTAGAGAACGTGAACAATCTACGAAAAAAGCCCATTTATTCCTAGTAACAAAGCCAGCTCATCATTTTACCATCACACAGTATAGACCAACACCTGAGATGCCCCATTCACACAGCCATTTCTCAGTGCCCCTTTCTTAACCATGAAGGATCCTTCCACTATCTGAGCACACGAAAGGACTGTTAATCCACTGTATCCAACCTGAGCAAAAGTTGTTTTAACTATGAGCTAATTTCTGAAAGGCATTACTTTAGATAGTGGTCAATATCAATATCCCACTGGTCAAATTTCTTGATATCAAAATAAAAGGCAGAGCCTTAAAGAGTGGACAACATCCATTAACCTACTTAAATGCAAAAGCTTCTAAAACTGTTCTAAAAAATGAAGTTTATAAAAACAATGAAAAATAAAAGCAATAGCCTCAAATGTTTATTAAGTACAAATGACAGGTATGAAAGGTACAATTTTTAGACTGAAAATACAAAGGTCAGAGAGAACCTCAATCCTAGCTGACACTCAGAATTCTTTTAGGGGAGAAATCTTGAAATAAAGTTAAAAAGTAGATAGGTAGGAAACAATGATCAGTCTTGAACACCTGTTAAGATATGTGGAATTTACAAAATATAAACTTAAGCCTGTTTTGTAATAAGCTTTAAAGAAGTCAAAAAACACTAGCAACACTTCCAACACGAAGGATTTTGCCTCATGGTATCAATGCTTTTGTCACACGATATTCCTTTCAGACCTTTATATGCTATCTTCCTAATTTATATTCAACTTATTCTCCTAATTGCCTCTTTCAATTCTCTGAATTAGTTTTCCTCCCATTCCATTCCTAAGTACAAAACTAATAAAATAAAATAATCATAATCTGTTAAATCAACAAACGTAACTAACTTTCCAGATCTTACAGACAAAACAAAGGAGTGGCAGTTATCTGACTGGTATACAGCAATTAAAAATGATGACATAATATTTGATGACATGGAGAGACTGATCAGAGTTGACTACACATGAAAAATCAGATTATAAAACATACATGTAATAAAATCACATTTTTGTGAAATTTTAAACTGTACCAAGGCTATACAAAAACTTACCAGTTACTGTGCATGGTGGCATGCTTTTATTTTTTTACTCTGATTCTCTGTATTGTCTCAAAGATTTTACAATGAGTGTATCACTTAAATAGGAGAAAAATAATATAAAATATTCAAACCTTTGTTAATGCTTATAAATATTAAATTCTTGACAACACACTATTTTTTAAATGAATATTCTCTTCTACCTTATTTTAGTCAATACACTAGAAAAACATATTGATGACCAGTGACAATCTTATGAAAGCTATTAACACTTTCTCCCATAAAACCTATTAAGGAAAATTTTGTATGAAATGTCATGGGTTTATTAGCATGCTAGGGTACATTTATGGACTTCCACGGTCATGGGCCCCCAAGTTAAGAATCTCTTTTGTAGATGAACTGTACTTTTTTAGTAGTTATTTATTGCCTACAAGAACCACAATCTTAATTTAGGCAACAATATTTTTTTGATGTCCAAAAAAGAAACGGGTGAGTGGGGGCCAAGGGAATAGGCAAAAATTTTTACTACAAAGCACTGTGATCCAACTGGATATTTTACTGTCACTTCTTCTCTATCAGCATGAACCATTAAGAGTGTAACATTCTACTTTTTATTACTTTCTACTACTAGCTAAAAACCGTTCACACTTATCAACATGTGAATAAAATTACAAACGTTACAAACTGGTTTCCAGTTCAGCTTTTCATGCTTTCACCCTTCAATATATATTTCATTTTATAAAATAAATTTTAACAATTTTAATTAAAATAAGTGGTTAAGTTCTTTTGTCAGATATCGTGCTAAGCACTTTATTTATTCAAAACCTCAAGAGCTTACAAAAGTTAACTAATTTATCATAACCATCCAATACACAAGTGATGAAGCAGGACCAGAAGCCACATCTATCTGGCTCCAAGGCTACACTCTTAACCACTACCCTCTGGAGTAACACGAGATAAAGGCAGAATGTCTTTATACATTGGGGGAAAACATCCTTTGATACTCCAATGAAACACAAATTATTGCCTAAAACTGTATATATCAAAATTTCCTTCATAATTTCATTCCCATCCACAGACTCCAGGTTAAAAATTCCTGAATATATACCTAGGATAAAAGTGAACTAGGAATGGGAAAATATAACTCCCACCCAGCTTCACCAATAACTAGTGGTGAGACATTAGGAAAATGATATTATTTCTCTGGATTTCATTTTATTTAGTGGTACAACCATAAACCCTGAAATTAGAAGCACAGTTTTATTCTAGTATAACATGTTGTCACCAAGCTGTAGATACAATAAATAAATCCAGAATTATGACTCAAATGCAACATTTCTCAGCAAATCCTTTAGACTATTACTGTTAATTTTAAATCATTAACTTATTAGTATTATGAAATATCCAATTGTGTATTCCACCCATAGTGAAAGCCACAGCAACCACTGTTAAACTTAGCCAAAAAGAATTCAGCTGGCTGACACTCAGAAAAGAGATGCCAATAATGATGGCACATAAGTTTTAAATAACCGAAATCTGTAAATTTTTTTGGAACAAATATATGTACCAATTTTATTGATAGAGAGAAGGAAAAAATATAAGACAAAAGGACATTACTGTAGGCCAAATGCTATTTGAAATCAAAACTATTCTGATAAACTCCATGATCAACTAGACTGTGTGCCTTAAGACATTCATTTATGTCATCACCACATTTAACGTGTTCATTAATCATCTCATCCAATGCTTCAAACATTCTTTACCCATAAAAATTTTATAAGGACAAAGAAGTTTAAACAGGATAGGCACACAAGCAAAAAGAATTTCTAGCCGTGACTAGCTAAAATCACACTGAGGAACAGGAATTTGCAAAACCCTTACAAACTTTGGTTATATTAATGATTGTGTTCCCTAAAGTCTTATTCTCTACAGTCTCAATATATGTATTATTTAAAAATTGGTCTAATATACATAATATTATTATTATATAATATGTATATTATACATAATATACATAATACTATGGAAAAGGAACAAATAGCAAACGGCTTCCAGAAAGGTCAGTGTCCTCTACCACAATACTGATTTTTTTTCAAGGATTAAGCTTGTTACAGGTCTCTAGCTATGACATAATGAGTCTTTAAACTCTAAAATAATTGCTTTTAGAATTTCAATCACGCCTATATTTCTAAGTAATTAAGGAGGAGTTAAAGAATTAGATTTTTATTTTAATGTTTTAAAAACAAAAGCATGAATAGCCCCATAAATAAGGAGAAGAAAAGATTTAATAAATATTGATAAACTATCATTTAAAGGAATAAAACTCAACATCCTAAAGGGAAAATTTGATGACAATGCCAATTTAAAATACAACTCACAAAGTTAGTCTTCAAAATACTTAAAGATGCATACCTCTGTGTCCAGGAATTGATATAAGCAAATATTTTGAGAGTATGTTCCTTTCTGAGCTGCAGTCCATCACCACCTTCTATATCCGATACTGAAATAAAGTAGAAAAAATAATGTTTAAAACTACAAATAAATAATACTAAACGAATACTAAAGCCAATACTTAAAAAAAAGGCCTAGATTTGCAAATGCAAATACTTCAGATAATTTGTTTTTTTGCTTTCACCAAAGAAAACAAACCTTTATTTATTTAATTAATGACTAATTTGAGCTTAAGAAGAGATTTTTAACAGATATAATTTTGGGCAGGAAGGGAAGAAGACACTTTGCCAGTTATTCTGGCTGTCTCTCAACTTCAAATCCACCCTTCTGTTCTATGCTTTGTGATGCTGGGGCTGGAACTCTGCAAGGTGCATTGTTCATTTCTAGCTAGCTTCCTGTTAAGATCTTCCTCCAGTGCCTACATGGCACTAGGAGACTAGACGAAAGGGGGACTCCAAGGACTTGTTCGCTTGCTCTATCTGAAAGTTATCACTCAGCAGCAGCATTGATTCCAGGCTCCAGATTCCAAGAAGCAATCTCATGAGAGCCCTTCTCAGAAGTACTAGCAGTAGCTAGGCAATATCCCCCCCTTGAAGTCCCAGCTTTCTTCACATGGCCCACTTCTAAGTGATTAGATTCTGACAATCCTCTTTCCTTTGTTTCCCCAGCCTTAGGGGAAATTGGTCCAGCTTTCTGCAGTAGTCGTCATCATCATCATCTCTGGGTGTACTCAGGGTTCCGTCTTTGCTCTTTAAACCTCCAACATCTGTCTAATTACTTCTCTTTATTAAATTCCCTCTTCAATTCCTTGACCGGACCCTGACTGACATAACTAGCATTTCATATACACTACGTACTACTATGACAGGAATCTAAAGTTAAATCCAGAATAGAAACTGTATAAAGAAATACAATTTAGCTAATGGTCCAAATAAGTCTTCTAATGTAAAATGTTTGATTGTACATGACAAGGGGTCAGCAAATGTCTCTAGGAAGAGCCAGAAAGTGAATATTTTAGGATTTGCAGGCCATACAGTCTCTTTTCACAACTACTCAGCTCTGCCTTTATATCTTGAAAGCAGCCACAGACAATATATAAACACATGAGCCTGGCCAAGTTACAAAAACAAGCAACTGGCCAGATTTTGCACAATGGGCCATAGTTTGCCAACTCCATGACAGACAAAGCCCAACAAGATAACATAAGCCACAGCATTTAAATCTTCACTGTGTCTAGAAGTTATCATATATACATTCATTAAATAGTTATTGAACACCCTATATGCTAAGTAGTAGACATACAATGGTGTATGAAATAGGGACAGCCCCCACCACATGGAACTTAAATCTAATGATGAAGTGAAAGGACGAAAAGAGGTAAATGAATAAATAATAAAACTCATACATACTGTGATAAATGCCAAGAAGAAACCAAGTACGGTATTGTGTAGCAAATATTGACTCATCTTAGAATGGACAGTCAGGAAGATTCTCTAAGGAGGTGATTTTTAAGCAAAGACTAGAATGCTAAGAATTCAGACATGAAAAAGAGAAAAAGAGATTAAAGCATTCTAGGTAAAGAAGCTGACATTTAAAGACAATCAGCAGGATAACATGAAGACAGATCTAAGGATGATCACTATGCAGAGACCCCAAAAACACTAACTCAGTTAGGAAGAAGAGAATAAAGGGGTTCTAGGTAAGGTGGTTCAGAGATAGGGAGACTAAACATACAGTTTACATTTAATTTAAATGAAAAGAGTTTTACTCTTTTAAAGGTTTTAAATGTCTCAAGCTTGCAGAGGAATTAGAATAGATGAAGAGAAACAACACACACGTGTACAAACTGGCAGCTACTAATCATAGGAATGAAAGAAACCGTACAAGGCAAGAAAGAGAGTATACTACCTGGCTCAGCAGTCAACATTATTTACATAGTCCTAAAAACACAAATACACAATACTGATTCAAAAACAACTGAAGAGGCAGGGCAAAGGTAAAAACACTAATCGTCTTCTCCCATAGAAGTCAAGAGTAGAAAATAGGTATCAAGAAATAACAATATAATCTTATTTAGACATAGGAAGGTAAAAGCTGAGGGGGAAAAAGATCAGATAAAATGGCAAGTGATTACCTCTAGGAGAGAAAAAGTGGGGCTGCAGCAAGAGACTGCTCTTTTTTGTTATAAGCCTTGCAAAACTATTTGACTATGTTTTTTTAAACAAGGCATACACATTATTTACTAAAAATTAAAACAAAAAAGGAATAGAGCTCATTATCCATAAGTTATTTCTTATGAACAACATTCATACTCTATTTTGGGACTAAAGTTTAACTATCAATGATTTGTATCTCTTATTCCTGGGTAGTTTGCAAAACTAGACTGTAAGTCAAAATTTTAACTGGAGGAAGGGGACTTTTTTTTAAAAAATAAACACTACTTTTAGTAGAGCGATAGAGGAGGAACCCAAACTAAGATAAATGAAATGAAGAGTACTGTTGATTCGAATGTAAATGGATAATTAGGTTAATAAACTGAATCTTTAACAAAATGTCTAATATTCAAATTCAAAATAATTAGTGAAACAGGTGCAAAAGGATACATACAGTATCATATCATAAAAAAACTGTGTTATTATAACTCATATACAATTATCAGACAAATATGTACACTGTAATAACATACAGCCAAATCAAAAGAATGGTTACATCTCAGGAAGAGGATAAAGATATATGAGAGAGGAAGTGCTTTTATCTGCAACAGGCAATTTTTCTTATTTTAAAAAAACAAAAGGTGCAGGCCCCGTGGCCGACAGGTTAAAGTTCTGCATACTCTGCTTCAGCGGCCTGGGTTCACAGGCTCAGATCCCCGGTGCAGACCTAGTCCACTCATCCGCCACGCTGTGGAGACATCCCACATGCAAAGCAGAGGAAGACTGGCACGGGTGTTAGCTCAGGGCTAATCGTCCTCAAGCCAAAAAGAGAGGAGGACTGGCAACGGATGTTAGCTCAGGGCCAATCTTCCTCACCAAAACAACAACAAAACCCACAAAAACAACTAAATTGTGAGAGAAAATGATACCTGACTTAATAAAGTCATAGCAAGCTGAAAAATCAGGCTGATAGTAGGGAATAGAAGCAGGTTAATTGTGTTCCATGAATCTCAGACAGGCTCAGGAACTGGAAACAATGAATACCTCTGAAAGCAGAACAGAAGTGGGGCTAAAAAATATTAAAGTCTTATTAAGAAGCAATTAGACATACCCCCCTCCAGGACCCTCCCCCCACCTCCCACCCATACACATTCTCTCCAAAACACTGTTTCCTCTCTGGAAATGTTGAACCAGAGATCTGGTTTTCGGAAAGCCACACAAGTGAAAGACAGGAGTATCTTATTGAAAACATGTAAATGTCTCTGTACAAGCATTTCCTAACTATGTGATGTAAGCATTCCTGAGAAGCCTCATGTCATGCAAAATCTTGCACTAAGGAATAATGAGGCTAACAATAAAACAAGATTAGAAGCACACTACTGAAAAACTATGAAACTTTACAACCAGAGCACAGACAAAATCAATAACTAGTCTAATTTAACATGAAAAATACTAGCACAGTTAAATCTGTTGGCATTTGCACCTAACCAGTGTCAATAAACCTGCAGCTTTAAACCATGAAGGCCGTGCTTCATCTTTTGATATGAAGGTTCCTGAGAGTATTAAATTCTAATAAAGATCATTTCCCAAAGAATAAAGATGGAATATAATCATTCTCATGAATCCATCATTTTAATGACTTTGCACTACTTCACCTTCTCCATGTAGCTTTACAAAGTAGAAATACAGAGGTCCTTGAAAGCAACAAATCAACATGCAGAACAAGAAAGCTTTCTAAGGATTGTCAGCTTTGTTGCTGTTTCTTCATATACTGGTATGGTCTTCTATTTAATCACAAGAAAGTTTGTGTGGATCACCACATAACATTATTGTGATGGAGGAAAACCCCAAATGACCAGTAAGATGTTCCGTTATACTCATACCATTTCTCTATTTACCAATGTTGTGTATGAGCTTAATATTTATTGTTAAAAAAAAAAAAAAAAAAGAACAAACACCTTGTTTTAGATCAGACTATATACTCAATGTTGAGACTTATGGCACTCTTCCCCTGCTCAGCTCCAGAAATACTGAAAGTCCAAGTAGGAGGATGAAAGATCCCTCTCTGGTAGTACTGACTAAACCAAGAGCGGTAAAAAAATTCTCTTGGCCAGGGAGAGAATGAAAAGTCATAAAGCCAAAGTATATGCCAAACAAATGGGTAACGAGGTAATAGCACCTGAGGCCTTGGAAACCAAAGATACTACTGCCCATCAAGGAAAGGTCCTGACAACAAAACCTAGCTAGCAACCATGACAGAATAAGATAAACTGGGAAGTGAGATAAGGCAACTACTAAAAACAAGCTCTTGGTTTGTATGATTTCAGCAAGAAGATGAGACCATAATATACAGTGCCAGGTTTCCTTTCCCAGCCTGAAAACACAGGGAATAGAGTGGCTGCAATGACCCTTCTCTAACACAAAACACAAATGACACGTATTCTGGAAAAAGCATATGTGTGGTCAGACACCTATCCCCACCTGGCAGCCTAACTGCTCACCAACACAAGATTTCCAACTCATTCCATTACACCTGCTTCATAACCAGAAGGGTAACGGAAGGACATCTTATCAGGCTCTCCAGAAAGAGAGTGAACACTGTTCACAATGCTGAAAGACTGAAAAGCTCCTCCTCTAAGATCAGCAACAAGAAAAAGCAGCCACTTTCATGACTTCTATTCAACATTGTATTGGAAGTTCTAGCCAGAGCAACTAGGCAAGAGAGAGAAATTTGAAAGGAAGAAGTAAAATTACCTCTGTTCACAGATGACATGATCTTATATGTAGAAAACTCTAGAGAGCTCACAAAAATAACCTGCTAGAATAAATGAATTCAGTGAAGTAGCAGGACATAAAGTCAACACACAAAAACTCATTGCATTTCTATACATTAACA